GAGAATGTTCCTCTGTCACAGGCCAGTGTGTTTGGGGAGGTGGTGGACCTGCTCAACGGCTCCTACTCTGTGCGTTTCCTCCTGCCGTGGGTCGGCGAGGCCCAGGTGGCTGTGCGTCTAATTCACTCCAGTGAGGCTGTGCAGGTCCTGAAGCGTCACAGAGATACTGACTCTGACAGGGTGTACTTTTATGGATTTTACGAGGGACCAGGACCAAATAAGACCAGGCTGAGTGAAGCAGTGATGTGTAATGTTAAGTGGGACAAGAATGGACTAGAGCATATGGGAACTGGAGACTGTTGCTGTGAATACAAAGATCCTCGTACCGAAGAAATATGGCGCTGCCAGAGACCCAAATCCCTGCCATGCAGTGCCCGTGTGTACCATTCTATGGGCGGTTATAGAAACCGTCTGACTAATAAAGAGAAGAAGCTTATGTGAGATTAAATGATTCTTGATTGACTTTATACTTGATTTATTTCATGCATTGATGGAAGGCAGTATGACAGACAAACATGTTCTCTTTGACAGGACGCAAACTAACAAACGTATCAATGGAGATAAGAGCATCATCAAAATTGTTCATTCCCATGGAAATGAAACTATTGGTATGTTGGTCAATAGTTTAACCCAGAATAATAGTACAGCACAGAGATGCTGGGAAATGTGTTGCACAAAAAAGAGGAATTAATTTCAAAATTAAAAGACCAGTTTAAGCAAATTTCGGCAAACTCATATCTTCCTTAAAGACCTTACAGTCTCCATTTACTCATCTTCCAGATGTAACAGAGAAATGTCATCCTGGTTTACACACTCCAGTTCCAGCCGGCTTTTACCTCAATGATGTGTGGACGTCTTTTGTCTGTAGCACCCGACATTTTACAACCCAAATGACAACAGAGTGCCTGAAAGACAAACACATTTACATGATGGGAGACTCTACCATGAGACAGTGGTTTGAGTTCTTTGAGAAAGTAGTACCAAGTGAGAATTTTTTCATTGGTTAATTAATTATATATTATATATACAGTACAGTAATTTTGGGATCATATTTGTTGGTGTCACTCACTGTTTTTCAGCCCTGAAACAGATGAACCTACATGTCCAATATCAGTCAGGGCCGCTTCTAGCAGTGGATGTGAAGAACAACATTGACTTACACTGGAGGGCTCACGGCATTCCTCTGCGCAGCCGAAAATCAGCAGTTGCTGATCTGCACTACATCAGTAATGAGATCGATGACCTGGCTGGAGGACCCCACACAGTCATTATGTTCAATCTGGGGCCCCATTTCACCACGTACCCTCTGGATTTCTACACCCATAGAGTGTTGAGGATCCGCAAAGCTGTTCTAGCATTGTTACAGCGGGCACCTGACACTACGGTTATAATCAAGACTGTCAACACTGGCTATAAGGTAAGCCTATACAGTATCGTGTGTTCAAATACAAGGAGGCCACACTGTGATGGCACGTTCAGGGTTGATGTTGCGTTTCTCTGTCTTTATAATAGGATATTTTCGGGAGTGATTGGTATTCTCTACAGTTGGACAGAATTCTGCGTTGGGCTTTTCAGGATGTTGGTGTTTATATTCTGGATGTGTGGAAAATGACGGCCTGTCACTACAGCAAAGAGAACATTCATCCAGGCCCTGTCATCATCAAAAACGAGATTGACATTTTACTTTCTTTTATTTGCCCTGAATGAATTACAATTATCTTGCCAAGTGAACATTCAGTTTATTATAGCAATTAAAAAACATTCCTTGATTCTCCACTCCAGTCATTTATTTAAACAGGCGTGTGCCTGGAATAACTAGTACTGACAATCTGCACTACATCAGTAATGAGATCGATGACCTGGCTGGAGGACCCCACACAGTCATTATGTTCAATCTGGGGCCCCATTTCACCACGTACCCTCTGGATTTCTACACCCATAGAGTGTTGAGGATCCGCAAAGCTGTTCTAGCATTGTTACAGCGGGCACCTGACACTACGGTTATAATCAAGACTGTCAACACTGGCTATAAGGTAAGCCTATACAGTATCGTGTGTTCAAATACAAGGAGGCCACACTGTGATGGCACGTTCAGGGTTGATGTTGCGTTTCTCTGTCTTTATAATAGGATATTTTCGGGAGTGATTGGTATTCTCTACAGTTGGACAGAATTTTGCGTTGGGCTTTTCAGGATGTTGGTGTTTATATTCTGGATGTGTGGAAAATGACGGCCTGTCACTACAGCAAAGAGAACATTCATCCAGGCCCTGTCATCATCAAAAATGAGATTGATATTTTACTTTCGTTTATTTGCCCTGAATGAATTACAATTATCTTGCCAAGTGAACATTCAGTTTATTATAGCAATTAAAAAACATTCCTTGATTCTCCACTCCAGTCATTTATTTAAACAGGCGTGTGCCTGGAATAACTAGTACTGACACATTGGAGATAACTGTAGTTGTATTCCTGCTTCTAAATGCACTCGTCACAATACATGTCTGTCTATATCAGGGGTGGCGAACGTTGGTCCTGGCTTCGACCCTAATCAAACACACCTGAACAAGCTAATCAAGGTCTGAAGGTTAGGAAGCTACAGGCAGGTGAGTTTTTATTAGGGTTGGAGCTGAACTCTGCAGGGCTGAGGCTCTCCAGGACCAGAGTTCAGTTTAATAACCAATTTAGGTTATCACAAACATAAATAATGTGAACGATAATTTACTTAGCTTTCCCTGCATAAGTACTTAAGTATCTAAATTGAATTAGCTCCAAATTAAATCAAATAAAAATAAAAGCAATGCCATGGCCAACTAGAGGTGGTTAATTCAATAAGAATCCACAGAAAATAGCTCAAATACATAACAACAAATGAGACAAAAACTAAATAAATAAATGATAATAAAAAACTCTGTTAAAATAGATCTGTGTATTGAGTCTTGGAGTGTAAATGCAAACTAATAGACCTGCTACTTTTTACAAGTAATATGATTCTTTGTTCCTCATTTGATCTGTATCTTGCACTTTACCTTTTTAAACAGTTTACTTTTTAGTGTAAATATTTAAAGGGTACATACTAAACAGATGAGGCAAGGCAAGTTTATTTATATAGCACATTTCGTACACAATGATAATTCAAAGTGCTTTACATAAAGTAAAATAATCATAAAATAAAATAATAATTACAAGAATAAAACAAGGAATTTAAAAACTTTGAAAATGATTTAAAAACTGATTTAAAATGAATTTAAGACAGTTAAAAATAGAAAATTATTATAAAATACAGTGCAATCAGTTCGGAGATCGCACAGTGCTCATTCAATAAATGCACAGCTAAACAGACGAGTTTTGAATCTAGACTTAAATGTGACTAATGTTTTAGCACATCTGATTCCTTCTGGAAGCTGATTCCAACTGCGGGCGGCAAAATAGCTAAAAGCAGATTCCCCTTGTTTTGTGTGAACCCTTGATATTTCTAACTGACTCGATCCTTATGATCTGAGTGGTCTGTTAGGTTTATATTCAGTGAGCATATCTGCAATGTATTTAGGTCCTAGGCCATTGAGTGATTTATAAGCGAGTAAAAGTACTTTAAAATCAATCCTAAATGTAACTGGAAGCCAATGTAAGGACCTGAGGACTGGTGTAATATGCTCAGATTTTCTGGTTCTAGTCAGAATTCTGGCAGCAGCGTTCTGGATGAGCTGCAGCTGTCTAATGGTCTTCTTGGGAAGGCCGGTGAGGAGACCATTACAATAGTCCACCCTGCTGGTGATAAAGGCATGAACAAGTTTCTCCAAGTCTTGACTGGAAACAAAACATCTAATTCTTGCAATGTTTTTGAGATGATAGTATGCTGATTTAGTTGATGAGATATATAGGTGAGCACCACTATAAACTCATAATTATGAGTAAGAAACTCTGAACATTATGCGCTGATTGGGAGTGTTCTTCTGATCTCCCCAAGTTGGGGGAGTGTCATTCACAAAATGTGGGATGCATTGGATGCAGCGTCTGCATTTAGAGTACATTTGTTTAAATGAATGAAATTATAAATTTTTCATTTGCAATAAACCCCAAGTCACATGTACAAAATACAATATTATTGTACAATTACGAAAGAATATATGATTCAGTTCTCCCTTTTATTATTTATCAAGTAATATTCCACATTTACAGCACATGCATCCCAAATCGTAACTACTTCATACACCTATTTTGTAACCTTAATATGTTTAGCAGCCTTGAAAGTACTGTTAACAAATAATTTAACATCTTAACTTTTGATTCATTGAGACACAAGCGTTTTCTTACAGCAGTCACATTCCTGCACATACAGTATAAGCACACAGAAAACTGGTAAAGCTGGTTGTAATTGTTTAATTAGTTCATACGGCAACAGCTGCTCCATTTCTGTTTGTCAAATATCTGTGAAGCTTATCCAGCTGTCACATGTTGACATTAATATCAACTTCAAACCCGACATGCATTCTCATGTCCATGCCTTTTTTTCTTTTACACAGAATTATAGATATGCGCATAATCTATGAGATTTATGAATCTGAGTTTAATGTGAACCATTTTATAACCCTTCATAATGGTTTTCCGGGTTCTGACGTCCCTGCACCAGTCTATAGAATCAAGCAACTTTATTCACAAAACAAATGTGTGTAAATTGTTTGTGAAACCAGTCCTATGTAAATCGCTGCACTGAAATGACAATTTACATAGGAATAGCTTTACAAATAGTTTACACAATTCACTCTGCTCCTTTTCTGATGTTCAATGATTGTAAGAGGACAAACATTCAAAATTTAGCATTTTTATGAAAACACCTAATCATGAGGCAGAAGTGAACCCAATGCCAAACAATTTGTGTGCCATCCAAACACAGTCAACAAATTTGGACACAAATTCACTTGACTGAATTTATATTTCTTGTGGGGTTGATAACTCATTTGATATATTCCTTCACAAAAAGAGTAACTCAGGAGCGAGGCAGCATTTAACAGGAGAAACTCTCAGAAGTTGAGAAACCTGTCTGTGACCAGTCTAGCTCAGCACAGCTTGTTAAACTACTGTGGAATCCTGTGGCTGTGTATTACCTTTTTGCTGGTTGTCATCTTAATTGTTTCTTTCTTTCTTCAGGGAGGTGGTGCCATTTTTATTGTTTTCATCTGGGTTTTCCTGTTTTTTTGGCTAGATAGCCTACATGGACAAACACGACTGAGAAAATCAAAGCCATAAATCTAAAATCTAAATAGGTAAATATCTAAAAAAAGAAAAGAAAGAAAAAGGAAAATATCTAAAAAAAAAAAAACCTTTCAGTATTCAGAGACGTGCTGAAATCGTGTTTGGTCTCGTACTGTATCGTGTACCTTGTTCAGTGTCGTGCGCTTTGCTTGGCCATTTGTAGTGATAAACAGGAAAGTGTGTTCAAGCGCCAGCAAAACAGTGTAAAGAATTACTCTTTGTGAGAAGCAGTCAATCAGCAGAAGTTAAAAGCAGCTTGTAAGTGTATTTATTTCTTGTCTCAGTGTTTAGCGCAGTTGTCGTTGCTAGGAAACGCCTTTTGTGTTTACTGTGGAGTAGGGGTGTGCGATATATCGTCTGCGATAATATCGTAATTGTTGTTTTAACGATGTGCGATTTGACATTATCGAGTATTTTGCAAAAACCATTCAAAACATCCCTACAGAGCGCACGCTTACATTACATGAAGTCTAGACTAGTGCGAGTGAGCATTTAGTGTTTTCTTTCACTGCATGATTCAGTCTATTAAAATGCATTTAGAATGATCACAAAATCAAGACATGATGGCAGAAAATTTATATATTTATACCACTTCATATAGTCATTCAATTTCACACGAAGAGTGCCGTTTTTCTCAAAAAATGACCATGATTACAAATGTGACATTGAATTCAATAAATAATAAGTTAATTAAGAGACGTACGTTTTAGACACCATATTGCTTGTTTTTGCTCTATTTGCATTATTTGAATGCTTGGCCAAAGAGATGTGTCTTTAATCTAGATTTAAACGGAGAGAGTGTGTCTGAACCCCGAACGTTATCAGGAAGGCTATTCCAGAGTTTGGGAGCCAAATGTGAAAAAGCTCTACCTCCTTTAGTGGACTTTGCTATCCTAGGTACTACCAAAAGTCCAGAGTTTTGCGACCTTAGGGAGCGTGATGGATTGTAGCGTGGTAGAAGACTAGTTAGGTACGCAGGAGCTAACCCATTAAGGGCCTTATAGGCAAGTAATAATATTTTGTAACTGATACGGAACTTAATAGGTAGCCAGTGCAGAGACTGTAAAATTGGCGTAATATGATCATATTTTCTTGACCTGGTAAGGACTCTAGCCGCTGCATTTTGGACTATCTGTAGCTTGTTTACTCTACCGTGCGACTCCACCGGGCAGGGACACCGGCATAGGATAAGTATTGCTTTTTATTTCTCCTCTTTCCTATTACTTGTTTCGCTTCTGTTTCAGTTGTATAACCATTTCTTACTATGTGTAAGTAAGTTGTTGTTTTTTAGCATGTGTGTTTGGCAGTGTTATTTTTTAGGATTACTGATAAACTATCATTTGATTTATATTATTTATTTATTTTAATTTTAGTTACATACTTGTCTGAATTTATTATGTCTGTATAGGTCTTTTATTAAGGTTTTAGTTTTATTTGATTTGAGTTATTTTAATACTTCAACAAACTAAATGGAAATGAAATAATATATATACAGGTGCATCTCAA